AGACTGGGAGCCACTGCTTTAAAACCCCAAATGGTGGGACTGCTGGGAACAATATTTTGGAAATACTACACTCTGAAAATGAAAAAAATTTATTCTAACATAGAATGGAGAAGTCTCCCGTGTGCATGTTTGATGACCGTACAACACAGCTACAAATTCTGTGATGCTTTTCCATGAAGAGGTGAAGTCTACATTGCCCCTCCTTGATTCTGGGTAACTGCTTGAATGAATAGCATACGACAGAAGTGATGCTATGTGACTTCCAAGATTAGGTAATAAGAGACCATGCAGCTTCCACCTTGTCTACCATAGCACTTGCTTTTGGAGCCCTGAGCCCTCATCTGTACATCTGACTACCCTGACACTGACATGCTGAAGAGGTCACAGGTAGGTGCTCTCCTGTCTGTCCTAGCTGGGCCCAAAATGCATGAAAAACAGACTTATGAGAAATATATTAATCTTCCTAAGTTTAATCATAACGACTAACAATGAAAGGGTTTCTTTTTTTTCAGAGAAATCTCCTTTAATCAGCACAATGAACAACAAAGCATAAAAATCTAAGAGGAACTGCTATGTTAGAGGAACAGCACAAGAAAACAATCTTTCAGTCATCCCTGCCCAGCTGTCAGTCATCTTAGAACCTCCAGCAAAACACCACTAAACCACTAGGAGCAGAGGAATCACCTAGTCAAGCCTTGTCCAAGTTCCAAATTCACACAGGAGTGTGAGATACAATAAAATGGCTATTGTTTACAGCTACTAAGATTTGGGTAGTTTGGTGCACAATAACACATGTCTGGAATAGCGTGTCGTAGTTCCCCATTATCTGTGGTTTCGCTTTCAATGGTTTCACTTATTCATAGCCAACCACGGTCTAAGAATATTAAGATATTCTGAGAGAGAGAAAGACCACATTTAAATAACCTTTATTACAGTATAGTGTTATAATTGTTCTAGTTTATTATTTTTTATCTCTTATTGTTATCAATATCCTCCTATGCTGAATTTGTAAGTTGAACTTTATCATGGGTATATAGATATTGAAAAACATGTTACATATAGGGGTTGGTACTATCTGTGATTCTAGGCATCACTAGGGGGTCCTGGAACATATAAGGGTAGACCACTGTGCTTCCCAAAACACTTCTGAAAACATGTCATTCACTGGGATACCCAGACCATAAGAAACAGAGCATACAGCATTAAGAATCACATATTTACATATACATGTATATCTATGTGTGTGTGTGTGTATATATATCCTTCTCTACTTTGAGTTTTAAAGATCAAAATGGTTTAATTGCTACTCTTTCTTTCAATACTGCAAATCATTTCAAAAGAAGATCATCAAAAGCAACCTCATTCCACTTTTCCCCTATAATTCCAGCCATCAGCTAAACAGTGAGTGGGGGTCAGAAAGCTTTCCCTCCTGCTCCTGTCAAGTCTTCTCCAGGTAATTCCAGGAAAGATGTGTTTCCTTTTTGTTTTGTTTTAATGAATAGATTTTAAAAGTAGGAGAAAAATAGGAATTGAGTAAATGGGGACCAGGATTGAGGCAGAGGGTGTTTACACATGGTGGTAGTGGGTGGTTTGGTTTTAAGATGGGAGACTTGATCATCAGGCAAGGAGAAGAAATATGTAGAGAGCACTTTCTCACCAATAAAAATACATTAATTAGCTCCTAGAGGGAAGAGCACAAGGATATAAATTCTGTGTGTTCTGGAGCATGTCACCTACAATGTGGCTGATTAATAAAGCTCTGAGACAGGATGAAACAAAACTGCAGCTCTTAGAAAACTGGGTAGCAGATTCACTACTATGGTTTTCTATTTGCACAACATTCTCCCCCAAACCGAGAACCTCCAGGCCCCTTCCTATTTTTCCCATCAGTAATCACTTAAATCTTGAACATTTAACTCTCAAAGCCCAACTCAGACTGAACTTTGGCTCCCTGTGTGTGCGATGGGGTGGGGGGTGAGGGCGAGCACCATGCACACAAGGTTGTCACAAATAATGAATTGCTCCTGGGGGCCTAGCTGGAGCCTCACAGCTGTGTGTGCAGATAAGCAGAGCAGTGTGGAGGGTAGGGATTGCAGGGCTTTGTGCTACCTTCACTTTCTCATAGACGTTCGGCTGCTGCTGTCGCCATCTTCAACCTGACCCTTCCTCACAGAGAGATGCTGACAGAGGGCGGTGGGGCTGTCAGACAGCTCTGACAGGGCGGGACTCATGCCTTTATTACTGATTCCAATCCAGCTCTCGGGGACCCACATGCTCACTTTCCTGAACAGACTCTGACTCGTTAAACCCTTGGGTTGTATGTTTAGCTTTTATTTCGAAAGTTCCCTTTTCAATTGTTGGAAATAAACTGCATGTGATTTTCTAGATCAAACATCTTAACTGCTTAGCAATTTAACATACAGTTGTAAATGATAATTTTTCTAAGTTCCGGTGCCCTCGGGATTTGTGTTAAGAGTATTTCATCAGCACATCGAGCTGCAAACAGGAAGTTGTCTAGGATATGGGGGAAATTTTAGCACCATGTCACTCTTCTGTGTTAGATCCAATTTTCTCCCCACACTTCAACAATGATGACTGTCACTAAAATCTAAACATTCACTGTTAAATTCTGTGTCCGTTTTCCCTTTTAGTTAAAACCGTATATATCTCCCTACTTTAAAGGATAAGTTCCCTTTTTAATTGAATTATACCTAGTCCTTGGGCCATTTGAGTAAAATCTAGTCATGGTCAGTTTTCCTTTTCTTTCAGAGTAAAGAGCAATTCACATTGTGTTTCAGGTTCTACCTGTCTTGGCAAACTCTAGCCTCCAGAGGGAGCCAAAGACTCCCCCACATTTCACTTAGCAAAGAAGAGCTCTGATTCTGTGAAGGCCAACTGGAAGCTGGAGACTTAAACACCAGGCCAAGTTTAGGGGTGGGGAAATGATCTCTTCATTCGGGTCATCTCTTTTCCATGTAGTGTTTTCTTTGGCATCTCTCACCATGCCCCCTTCCCTTCTCCTTCTCCTGCCACTCTCAAGAACCGTGAGGGGTCTGAGATTTCACCTTACTTGAAATGTAGTAAGTTTGCCCACCAGGTTCCCAGGTGCCAGAAGATTCTTGGCGCTGAGACTTTAACACTCACAGCAACAGCAGTAACAAGGGTATTAGCACTTGTGCTGCCCAAGAGGGCATGAAGCAGGAGCCAAAGCCTGCCTCCAGCATCGGTGTTGGGCTAGATGAACAAGAGGACCCTCACTTATCAGGATAGGAGGCTACGTCCACACTTGGAGACATATTCTTAGCTACTAACAAAGAGTGTGCAGGTCTAAGGTCTATAGCAGGGGTCCACAAATGATGCTTTTGTGCAGCACATGAGCTAAGCATTCTTTTTCACAGTTTTAAAAAGGGCTACAGCAAAGAAGAAAATGTGACAAAGACCACAGGTGGCCTGAAAATTTTGAAGTATTCACTATCTGGGCCTTCATAGACAAGCTTGATGATTCCTGGGCTACAGCATCCTCTGTGCTTAAGGCCTGAGAGGGGAGTGAGAGTGCCATGGCAAAGAAGATTCAGGATCTCTCTCTTTCTTGCTCCATCAGAGACACAAATTGCAGGCCTGATGGGAACACGTACATTACGAGATTATCTTGCTCTTTCATTATTAATCCCCACTCCAATATAAACAACAGAGCTAGGTGGATTTCATAAAATAGGGTTGAGGTGATGACTGGTTGTCAACATTTTTGTGGACAAAGGGGTTTTTTTTGACCAATATCGTTCTTGTGTAGTTTGATTTCTAATAGCTGCCACCCAGCCCTCTAGAAGACATCTCTGACCCTCTTTGAGGAAACTACTTTTTTACTACCAGATGCAATCTTTCTCCACGAATTGACACCAGTATTCCACTAACATGGTTTCCACAGCCGGCCAAATGATCTGGCTACCTAGCAAGCTGATTCCTTGAGGGCTGCCTTTCTCAAGTCCTTCAAATTCCATGTGCTAGTGTTGCTGGGACTGGTTTCCAGGCAGCATCAGCAGTGTCTGTGAGCTTCTTTCATGGGTTCAATGTGAAGAAACTAGTTAAGGGCATTATGACTGGCAGCCTTTGGCTGACGCAGGATTTACCCCAGCCTTTGTTAATCGGGGAAGATTTGATGCAGTTGGTGGATTCCCCTGGTGCTACTGAGACACATATTAGTTTTATGCTATCCTCTTTGATCCAGTAGTTCCATCGGCTTTAGAAACAAAATCCTAACTGACAAGTCTGAGATAAAATATACCTACTTATGCCTTTGTAATACCCTTAATTCCTAGTTTTTCACCACCCTGCCCCCTACAACTAAGAGGGTTCCTGTGAATATTACATCATGTCTAGATGCTATGCACAGTGCACTAGTCATACAGATCTCAGCCCATCTTGTCACATCAGTAAATGGGAATGACAGCCATCATATTGCCACAGTGATGCTGGAAATTGGAGTGCCTCTAAATGGAGTGTCCAGCCAGACCTCACCAACTGCTAACCATCCTGGGTTCCTGGGTTTATTCATTTCCAGCACATGTTCAGAACTTTCCTCCAAAGTGTTTGAGGGGACAATTGTTCATTCTTCTACTTTGTTCAATAAAATGTATTTTATGCTTTTGTTTCATTTTATTTTTCTTTCATGCCCAGAGCAGAACTGCCTGACTCAGGAACCCAGATAAGTCAGCAATACTTATATAATAGTTCATTAATTAATAGTGAAAAACAAGGGAGGCCCACTAGAACACTGACTTCAGCTACCTTAGCAGCAAATGAGTTCCCCAGGATGCATGTCATGCCGGAAGAATCAGTAAGCAATGGTGTCTACAGGGCAGGCTTTGAGAGCAATTCAAGTGCAGGGCAGGGATTTTCTCCTCGGGATTAAAAGTGTCACTGGCACTGCCTTGGAACATGATGTCAGAACTACTGAAACTCCCACAGCCCACATATTTTCTCAAAAGGGAGGTGGTTTTCTATTTCATGAGAAAAGCTGGTGAGAACACAGTAGAATGTAATTTAAGAGAGAGAAGTAAGGGCTGACAAAAAAGGGAAGATATATTCACCCCAGGGCATCGTGAAAGCAAAATGAATGGAGAGCAAAGCAGCATAAGAAATGCAGCGAGGCCTGGAGTCAACGTCTCGGGGCATTTGGTCAAAGATCACCATCCCTCCTTCATGATACCATCTCCAAAAGGAGATTCGGAATTTTATGAGTACATTCTCTGCTTCTGTTTTAGCCAACATGATTAAAGGTGGTAAAGGAGTTCTGCATATTATTATCTGACCAGATCCAAGGTAAGGAAGGGTACAGGGTGAGTCATCCTGGTGGGCAGGGGTGGGGGCAGCTACTGTAGTTGGCCAAGCACGGGGTTGAGTTATCAAAAGCAGGGAGTGTCAGACAGGGCACAGGATGCAGTCCCAGAGTTCAGGGAAGGCCAGTGAGGGCTGCACTGGCAAAAGGAACCATCCAGGGAAAGATAGTCCAGCCCTCCCCATGCAGGACTGGGGAGGAGATACGAGAGGGCTGGAGTAGGTACCTCAGGGCCACGGACTTTGACTCTATCTACAAGAAGTCAGTAGCTTGTGTTGAGGGTCGAGAAGCCTGAGGGTGTTAGGAGACCTGTGTACTTATACAGGAAACTCAAGGACCATTCTACCAAGATGTCCTAACCAGGATTTACAAACGACTGGATTTCACTGCAAGGAAGAAGAAAGCAATTAGAAGTTATATCGATGAATGTAGATTCCATGAATTTTGTTTCTAGATTAGAAGCTGTTTCTCTGCCCCACATACTGAGCTCCTGCCTTTCTTGTATTATTTTAGGACTAAAAAGGGTAAGATGTGCCTCTTCTAGATTGGGATTTAAAACAAAAAGCCTCAGTATAACTCAGCTGATAAAGATCTGGATTCAGGTTCTTGGGTCTGAAGACTCAACGGAGCCACACTGCATGGCTTCCTATCCAGCCTCTGACACTTACTGGCCATATGACCTTGGACAAACCAACTCACCTCTCTGAACATCATTTTAATCAGTTGTAAAATCAAGATAATAACAGTCCCTTCTTCCTAGAGTTCTTATGAAAATAAAATGAATTAACTCTTATAAAGTGCTTAGAACTGTATCTGGCACACAGTAAAACCTATATAAGTATTTGCCACTATTATTATCCCAGCCTTCCACATTTGTACAGACAAGCTAATGCTGTCCACTGCTAGGTCACAAAAACAACAGGAATGCACACACTCAACTCTGAGTCATAGCAGGTTGGGGCTTTCCCCCTCATACTAATCAGTCACGTTCAAGGCAATCAAGACACAAAGACAAGGAAGATACAGAGCTGGAGGGGATGTGAGAAACTGAGTCACACTACTAATTTTACAGATGAGAAAACTAAAACATAAACTTGCTATATCCCAAAGTTAATTTGTTAATAGAACAAGAAATAGAATTTAGTCATGTGAATTTCCCAGTGTCTGAAGATGTAATTCACATATTAAAATCAGGTGCCTGCTAGGTCAGTGCTACCATTATTTATTATCAGCCTGGTCTATTCTCCTTTCCAGTAGCATGACAGAATGTGAAACTGTCTTGAACTCTGCAGATCACTATATAATTATGTCAGGGTTGGCTAAGAGTGGGGCACAACCATGATGCAAACCACAATATAGTAAAATCGGCATGGCCTGACTTCCTTTAAGTGCTCTAATTCTTCTTCTCTCATGCCAAGTGTAGAGGAGACCTCTTGCCTCATGAAACCCCACACCCAAGCATCCTTTCTGAAGAGAAGAACCCTTTACACTGGCAAACTTGATCCTGAACACTGGATTCTATCAATGGAAAAACATCTCTGCTGTTGAGAGCTTGGCCTGTGGTGTTGAATGAGGTTTGTGGATGCTTAAAGAAGGGTTCTGGTGTTAGACTAAGTAATCCAAATTATTTCTGTAAAGCTTTGTGGAAGGAGTAAAAATAATGGTTTACACATAGCTGCATTCAGAAACTGGAAGGGGAGGGGAAGACTTCTCAATAAAATGTTTTCTGAGGCAGCACTTAATAGATGCCGCTGTCTACTAGTTTGACTTTAGCTATTAGATATTTGTGGGATCACTCCCCATATCAAACTATAACTTCTACAAAGGTAGCTTTTATTTTAATCCCTAGCTCCTAGATATTTGCGGACTGCTCACCATAATATAAAATGATGACATCTACAAAGGTAGCTTTTATTTTAATTGGTTGCAAGTTCCATTCCTTCTATCCCTTTACAGTCAGATCTGGGCTAAGCAAAGATGTTTAGCTACCAAGTAGGTGACTGATGGTTCTAATTACAAACTTGGAATTAAGAAACCCAGTTTCTACTTCTCTTTCCTTCTTCCCCACCATTAAAAAGCTTTGGAATTTGAGCTAGATCACAGATTCTACACTGCAGGGTTGTGGAAGCTACTGTGTCATTATGTGCTAGGTCAATGCATAGGAATTTCCTTTACTTTGAAAAAATGCATAAAACTTTTGACCACGGGGGTATCTTTATTTCTATTCTGGGTATAATATTAACATAAGATACTACAGGGCAGAAATAATATCAGGAAATCCTAAGAGAACAGTGACCCCCAAGGCCTGGGTAAGCCAGAGACAGGTGGAGGGAACGAACACTAGGCTATTATTCTCTAACCTCCTCTCTCAACTTTCTTTCTGGGCACCCCTCATTCCAGGCTGGAGTTGATTCTGGGCATGCCTCTGCTGGAGCTCTCACTCTCCTGGTCTGGTTTGGAGCATGGCCTCACCTGTCTCACTCAATCTCAATTCAGTTCCTGCTTTCCACTCTGCTCTGTATTGCTGCCCCTCTCCCGGCCCCAACCTTGCCTCATTTGATTCCAGTTCCTGAATCTACTCAGCTACTAACTTGATCTTTCTTTTTTTTTTTTTTTTTTGAGATGGAGTTTTGCTCTTGTTACCCACGCTGGAGTGCAATGGCGCGATCTTGGCTCATCACAACCTCCACCTCCTGGGTTCAGGCAATTCTCCTGCCTCAGCCTCCCAAGTAGCTGGGATTACAGGCGTGCGCCACCATGCCCAGCTAATTTTTTGTATTTTTAGTAGAGACGGGGTTTCACCATGGTGGCCAGGATGGTCCCGATCTCTTGACCTCATGATCCACCCACCTCGGCCTCCCAAAGTGCTGGGATTATAGGCTTGAGCCACCGCGCCCGGCCTAACTTGATCTTTCTAAATTTGGTCTTAACCTAACAACAAATATACAAACAAATCCGAGCTCAGTATATATTACTCATACTATTCAACAATAAATAGGAGCAAACAATTAATACACATAACAACTGATGAGTGTCAAGGATACTATGCTAAGTTAAAAAAAAAAGTCAATCTCGAAAGGTTTCATACAACATGATTCCATGTCTACAACATTCTTAAAATGAAAAAATTATAGAGATAGAGAACAGATTAATCATTGCTAAGGATTAATTGAGGACAGGGTATGCCTGTGAAGGATTAACATGAGGGAGTTTCTTTGTGGTGATGGAATAGTCTGGACCCTGATTGTACTGGTGAGGTTATATAAATCTATACATGTGATAAAACTTCCTAGAATGACACCATTCCTCCACATGCATAAACAGAAACAAGAGTGGATGTAAAAAAAAAAAATGGTGAAATCCAAATAAGGGCTATATTTGAGTTAACAGTATTGTACCAATGTCAATTTCCTGATTTTGACAATGTACTAAGGTTATGTAAGATACTGTCACTGGGGGAAGCTGGGTGAAGGGTAACAGGAATGCTGTATTATTGCTGCAACTTCTTATGAGCCTTAAATTGTTCCAGAAAATACACACACATAAACACACAGACATGAACACAGTCAAGCCTTGCATATCTGTGAGTTCTATATCTGTGGACTCAACCAACTGGAGATCAAAAATATACTTTAAAAAAAAGATTATTGCATTTGTACTCAATATGTACAGATTTTTTTCTTGTAATTATTCCCCAAACAATACAGTATAACAACTATTTGCAAAGTGTTTACATTTTATTAGGTATTATAAGTAATCTGGAGATGATTTAAAGCGTGCAGGAAGATACAGGTGGGTTACTTGCAAATACTATACCATTTTACCTAGGGACTTGAGTATCTGTGGATTTTGTTATCTGCAAAGGTCCTGGAACCAGTGCCCCAATCCCCCACAGATACTGAGGGATTACTATCTATATATGTGTGTACACACACACACACACACACACACACACACACACACACATCCTATGGTCCGGAGTCCCATCCCCAACAGTAGCACATAACAAGAAAGGACAAAAGTGGCAAGCAGAGTCCAATGCACGGCATTCTTAGTGAAAGCATTATATGGAATTTAGTGTCAAATTGAAAAAGCCTTGACATTAAGAAAACCAAAAGTCCGAAAACCAGCTTAGTTGCATAATTTAACTTCAGCTGGCAGAACTCAAACTGTGGGCATATAAAATGGAGACAACAGAAGTTAAACGTGCCACATCACTCAATTCTAGCTGACATTTCCTTTGGCAATTGTTTTCTACCACATAGTTTTTATCCTATTGTGTAGATTGTAAATTTCCTTCTGACACAAATAGCGGTCCCTAACATATATGACTGTTGTATGGAAAATGATCTTGAGACTAGCTGGAAAAGGAACAACATAATTCTCTAACAATTTATAAGCTTCTGAAAGGTATCAAAAGAGCCAGAGGTATGAAAATAACCTTTGATACTTCTAAAAAAGGTTATTTAAAAGAAACATGGCATCTTAAGAAAATTGTTCTCATATGAGTTGAGTCTTCAAGTCTCATATGACTTTAAGAACTTTAAGAAATGAGGTAGTTGATGTTTTTTGCTTGGCCTTGACAACTGACTTAAGGCATAAACAATCCCTATCTTTGTTGAAAGAAGAGCATATATGGGTGAATACCTATCCTCCTAATTTTCACAAGACAGTAGGGTGAAAGTATTTATGGTATATCTATTGAGGATGGTAGGAGGTGTATATGCCAGCTGGGAAACTCCAACATCAGCGTCGCCCCTACTGTCCCTAATCCAAGCGCTCAGGAGACATTTATCTTTGCATTTGCAGAGATTCCTTCCATTTTACATGGAGCATGAGTTTACAGAAACTCAAAAAGAATACATCAAAGTTTCTCCTTCTGAGGACAAGGAGGAAAGTATCAGGTTCAAGGGTACAAAGAAGATGTTGGCCTTGGAGGAGAACGTTTATAATAATGGGGCATCACAGGTCTTATTTGGTTTTCATTATGAAAATTCTTAAAATGTTTAATCTGTGCAACAAAAAGAGAAAGACCTCAAAGAGGAGAAGGGGGTCTGTCAGTGAGGCTGGAACTGCAGGGCTAATGGAACACCAAGGTGGGGTTCAGGCCAATGCCACTAGTGAAGGACAGGGCACCAGTACAGGGGGTTATAAACTAGCTGGTGTGACAATACTCTTCAGACCTCAAACCTGAACCTCTGGTTCACAGGAAAAATCATTAACAAGCAGAGATAATTTATACTATGCAAGCTTAATGTGTAAATACTGATTAGAAGAGAGATTAGCTGGCTTTCATCCGCTGTGTACACATTCATTTGTTCATTCAATCATTATTCCACGAACATTTGTTGAGTAATAATTGTGTGCCAGGCTTTATAGTGTCAGGAACTGTGCCAGGCACTGGTGACCCAAGGATGAATCAACATAGCGCAACCACAGAACAGGTCTAATTTGGTTTTCATAATCTGTGTGAGAAAAAGAAAAAGACCTGAAGGAGAAGGGGACCTGCCAGTGAGGCTGGGACTGTAGGGCTAATGGAACACCAAGGCAGAGCTGGGGCAGGGTCAGGCCCAGGTTTTCTGGGGGCAGTGAATTGTGACACCTATTTGGAGGTGTCCAAGGCAGGCCTCTAAATTGGGTTCCTCTGACTCTGGTTCAGTGAAGTATTAATATGTGCTCCGTTATATAAAGGGCTTCATCACAGTCTATTCATTTTGGAAATGCTGTATTGATTGTCTCAGGTGAGCATATTAATAACTGAGAAGTCCTGCACTGAAGACATCCAGCAAATGGTATTACCTTACAAGGTCCTGTGTGGAAAATCCCACTCTCAGGACTATGAAGTGGAAAAAGAAGTGCAGGAGCATATCTGTAGTGAAAAGACAGGAGCAAGCAAGGCATTTTTCATGTCCCATGAAACATTCCATGGTCCAATTCATGTAAGCCAGAAATGTCACTGCCACCGAATTATCTGAAAGGATTTTGTGTGAAATGTATGTAGTATTTTTACTAACTTTCCTCTGCCTAAAATACATAGAGACAGTTCATCTTTCACAGGAGTTCAGCGTCACAGACGCTGGAGCTGATGACTGTTAGGAAGCATCTGGTACAATCCTCCTGCTCAACAGAGGAGTCTGGACAAAGCTAATCAGTAACCCAACTCTAAGAAACCTGAGCTCCCAATTCTCAGCCCAAAGCCCGGATGAGTAAGTACCTGTCTTCTGTATGCTCCACACAGCATTTCAGTGTACTGCGGGTGTCAACAATTACTAAGTCACTAAATTAAGTTATAATATTTGTAACATCACAACATAAAGATCAGAACAATAACAAAACATTCTGCCATTTCTTCAGAAGCATTCGTTGAACATTTCAGGGAAGAAAAAAAGTATCCTAGGGCTAAAGAGTTAACATTGCTTCAACCTCAAGAATATCATTATCTGACAGGAACCCCTCCCATCACCATGTCACTGAGATTTTAAAAAATATACCTTTGGTGTTGCTATAATCTTATTAACCTACTGGCTCGTAGAGCTTATTACTCTGAAAATAGCTTTTATTTTCTTCTAAGCCAAACTTATCCAAGAGCATCAGTCTAAAGACTATAAATAGCCCAAGTATAATGATCAGTGACATGAAAATGTAGGCTAAAGCTAATAGAACTGAGTAACAGGTTTAATTTCAAACTGGAGAACTAGGTGATAAGATCCCACCACTTTATTGTTTCTGTCCTGGATTTTATATAATCATTAAAATAGCACTGTTTGCAAGGAATGTATACAGTTATACTCGGCCTAACTTTATAAAACAAGCAGTCAATTTCCCAAGTAGCCTTACAATTCTACTCTCTCTTAAAAAACAACTTTATTGAGATGTAATTCGTGTACTATCTAATTCACCTATTTAAAGGGTAAAATTCAGGGATTTTTAGTATATTCACAGATATAGGCAAGTGCTACAATAATCCATTTTGGAAAACATTTATCAACTCAAAATAAATCTTGTACCTAGGCTGAGTGTGGTGGCTTACACCTGTAATCCTATCATTTTGGGAAGCTGAAGCAGATGGAGGGCTAAAGCCCAGGAATTTAAGACCAGCCTGGGAAACATGATGAAACCCCATCTCTACCCAAAAAAAAAATTAGCTGGGCATGGTGGCATATGTCTGTAGTCCCATCTACATTTCACTCCAGCCTGTGCGACAGAGGGAGAAGAGAAAAGAAACCCTGTACCTTGTAGCTGCCACCCCACCTCCACCCCCACCCCATCCTCTCATCTCCCTCACCCCTAAGCAACAAATAATCTACTTTCTGTCTCTATAGCTATACATATCCTGGACATTTTGCATAAATGGAATGATAGAGTATGTGGTCTTTTGTGGCTGGCTTCCTTACCCTAGCATAACATTTTCAAGGTTCATCCAAGTTGTGGCATGTATCTGTACTTCATTCCTTTCCATGGCCAAGTAATATCCCACTGTGTACATATTCCAAATTTTATTTATCTAATCATTAGTTTATGGACATTCAGGTTGTTTTCACCTTTTAGTTACTATGAATAACATTGCTATAAACATTTTTGTTTTTCTATGGCTTTTTTTTCATTATTCTTGGGTATGCACCTAAAAAGTGGAATTGCTGGGTCATATGATAACTCTGTGATTACCTGTGAGAAACTGCCAGACTTTTTTCCAAAGTGGTCACACCATTTTACATTCCCACCAGCAGTGTGTGAGTGTTTCAATTTCTCCAAATCCTTGTCAACACTTAATAATTATCTGACTTCATGATCCTAGGGGTCATAAAGGGGTATCATATCTGGTTTAAATTTGCATTTCTTGATGATTAATGATGTCGAGAATCTTCTCATGCATTTATAGGCCATTTGAAAATATTTCTGGGAGAAATGTCTATTCAAGTTCTTTGCCATTTTAAGTGGGTTATTTGTCTTTTTATTAAATTGTAAGAGCTCTTTATATATATTCTGGATATAATTCTTTTATCAGATATATAATTTAGAAATACTTTCTCCCATTCTGTGGGCTTTTGCAGTTTCTTGATAGTGTACTCTGAAGCACAAAAAGTTTCAGTTTTGTTAAAGCCCAATTTATACTTTTCTTTACAACTGCATTTTGGTGTCATATCTAAGATTCATTTGCCGATACCAGTTGTCCTGCATTGGAAGGGCTTGGTATTCCAACTGAAAATCAGTTAACCATAGATGTTTATTTCTGGATTCTCAATTCCATTTCACAGATCTGTATGTCTAACTTTGTGCCAGTACCACACAATCTTTTTATTACTGTTACTTGTTAGTAAGTTTTAGAATTGAGAAGTGTTAAGTGCCTCCTAGTTTGTCCTTCATTTTTGAGATTGTTTGGCTATTTTGGGTCCCTTTAAATTCCATATGTTTCGAAATCCCATGTTAGTTTTGAAATTCTACAATAGCCTATAAATTTCTCTAAAGAATCCAGCTGGGATTTTGATAGCAATTGCATTAAATCTGTAGATTAAGCTGGGAAGTATTTCCAACTTAGCCTTGTCTTTCAATCCAGGAACATGAATTTCCTTCCATTTATTTAGGTCTTCAAATTTCTTTCAGAAATCTTTTTTAAGTTTCAAAGTATAAATTTTATAATTATTTATTAAAATTATTCCTATTTTATTTTTAAATATTATTGTAAATGGAATTATTTCATTAATATCATTTTCGGATTGTTCAAAGCTAGTATATATACAATTAATTTTAGTAATTAATTTTGTATCTTGTAGCCTTGCTATTATGGTTTGGATTGTGTCCCCCCAAAAAAGATACATTGCAGTTCTAACTCCCACTACCTCAGAATGTGACCTTATAAGTAGGGTCATTGCAGAGGTAATTAGTTAAGGTGAGGTCATACTAGAGCAGGGTGGCCCCTTAATCTAATATGACTGGTGCAATAACAAGAAGGGAACAGAGACATGAAGGACGAAGACAGTCAAATGATGATGGAGGCAGAACCTGGAGTGATGCATTTACAAACCAGAAAAGGAAAACAAATACCAGACACTGGAAAAAGAAAGGAAGGATTCTCCTCAGAGTCTCAAAGGGACTCCCGACACCTTGATTTTGGACTTCTAGCCCTGTAACTGTAAAAAAATAGATTTCTGTTTCATTAAGCTACTTAGTTCATGGTACCTTGCTATGGCAACCCCAGGAATCTAATGTATTTGCTGGACGTGTTTATTAGTTTTAATGGTTTTTTAGTGGAGTCCTTGGGATTTTCCATATAAAACATTACGTCATTTGCAAATAGAGTTACTTTCACTTAGGATGTCTTTTATTTCTTTTTCTCTCTTAATTGTCCTGGCTAGACACTCCAGTACAATGTTGACTAGAAATGGAAAGAGTGGGCATCTTTGTCTTGTTGCTAATCTTAGAGCAAAAGTATCCACTCTCTTCCAATCAAGTGTGATGTTACCTATGAGTTTCTTGTAGATGTCTTATCAGACTGGGCAATTTTCCTATTACTAGTTTTTGAATGTTTTTACCATGAAAAGGTGTTGAATTTATCAAATGATTTTTTCTCTGTATTGAGATGATCATGAGGTTTTGTTTTTTATTCTATTGATATGACATATTACATTAATTGATTTTTGGATGTTACATCAACAGTGCATTCTTGAGATAAATCCCACCCTAGTGTATAATCCTTTTCATATGTTTCTGGATTCAGCTTGCTAGTATTTTGTTAGAACATTTTTCCATGCATAATAAAAAAATATTGGTTTGTAGTTTTCTTTCCGTGTGATATTTTTCACCACTTTTGGTATTAGGGTAATACCGGCCTCAAAGAATGAGATAGAAAGTGTCCCTTCATCTTTTGTTTTTTTGAAGAATTTGTAAAGAATCGGTATTAATTATTTGCAGTCTTCTGAGAATGTCTGTTAGGTATTGTTGGCTTTTAGTGTCCTTCATGCCTTCTATTTTCTTAGTGTTTTCTGCCTAGTTGTTATATCCTTCTGGAAAACTTGGTGTTAAAGTCTTCAGCTACCATTGTTGAGCCATCTATTTCTTCCTTCATTTTTGTCAGTTTTTACTTCACATATTTTGGCACTCTCTTGTTTATTGAAAATATGTTTATAATTGTTATATTGTCCTAATAGATTGTCTTTTTTATCACTATAAAATGTACCCCTTTACATTTGGTAACTTTTTTTGTTTTAACATCTATTTTGTCTGATATTAACGTAGCCACTCTGGCTGTCTTATAAGGTTGCTGTTTACATGGTGTATCTTTTGCTTTCTTTTTACTTTCAGTCTATTTGTATCTTTGAATGTGAACTGTGGCTCTGTAGACAGTATATATAATTCAGTCTTGCTTTTTGTTTTTAACTAAAGATTGTTTAATAATCTCTGCCTTTTGGTTGGACTATTTAATTCAAAAGTATTTAATGTTATTATTGATATAGTAAATTTACATCTACCATTCTACTTTTTGTTTTCTATACTTCTCATGTCTTCTATTCCACCTTTATTGCTTTCTTCTGCATTAAGTGAATATTTTCTAACACAGCATTTAAATTTCTTTAAGGATTTTTTCACTACTTAAAAAAATATTTCCTTAGTGATTGCTCTAGGCCTTATCAGATACATCTTATCAGAATCAGCTTCAGATTTACACCAGTTTTATTCCAGTGGGATATAAAAATGTTACTCCTATATAGCTCTATTCCCTTTTCTCCACTTTTGTGATGTAACTATACTATTACATTTAAAATGTTATAAGCCCAATAGTACATTCTTATTAATATTACATTATATAATTTTAAGTCTTTTAAGGAAGCTGAGAGGAGAACAAATATATATATCTATTCATATATTTTGTTATGTTAACTTTATTTATCATTTGTGAATCTCTTCATTTGTTTTTGTGAATTCAAGTTACCACTAGAGTCAATTTTTTAACCCAGTATAATATTGCCTTCACCTACCTCCTTTGTGCTGTTATTAGCAAATGTGTTACATTTCTATAAGTGAAAAAGGCTCAACAATCATATATATGGGTATGTGTGTCTATTTGTGTATAGTTTAATGCAATTGCTTTTAAAATCAGTTTTAAAAAAGGGAGATGATATATGCATTTACACTGTCTTTTACACATATATATGCTCATTGTTATTTTCTTGAGGATTCAGATTATTGTGGGAAGTTACTTGCTTTTAGACTAAATAATTTTCTTTAGCATTTCTTATAAGACAGATCTGTTAGAAACAAATTATTTCTGTTTTTGTTCACCTGGGGATATCATTATTTTGCTTTTATTATGAAAGATAGCTTTGCTGGATATAAGAGTTTTAGTTAACATTTATTTATGTATTTTGAATCTGGACATCACTATTTTCTGGCCTCCACTATCTCTGAGGAGGAGTCAGGTTATTCTTTGGGTTCCCATATAAGTAGCAAGTCATTTTTCACTTGCTGCTTTCAAGATTTTTTCCTTGTCTTTGGATTCTTAGCATTTTACCACAATGTCTTTTACCCTTTTGTGTTTGCTAATCTTCCTTGGAGTTTGTTGAGCTGTCTAGATATGTACATTAATAGTTTACCAACACATTTGGAAAGTCTGGAAATAATAAAAAGTCATTATTTCTTCAAATACTTTTTCTGCTGCTTTCTCCTTTTTCTCTACTTCCAGTATTCCCATTACATATATGTTGGCACACTCAATGGTGTCTTGCAATTCTCTAAGGCTCTGTTCATTTCTTTTCATTTTTTTTCTCTCTTCTCTTCAGCTTGTATCATCTCTGTCAATCTTTCTTCTAGTTCATTAATTCTTTCATTAGTTCAAATCTACTCTTGAGCCTCTTTGGTTAATTTTTCATTTCAGTTATTATGCTTTACAATTCCAAAATGTTCATTTGGTTCTTTTTTAAAAATTTGTATCTCATTTATATTCTCTGCCTGATATGACATTACCAAAATACCTCCTTTTATGTATTTAATCATGGGTTTCCTTTAGTTCTTTGAATGTAGTTAATATGGATACTTTGAAGTCTTTTCTTTTAAATCCAACACCTGTTTGCTCTCATAGGCAGTATCTATTGCCTAATTTTCCCTGACTCCCACCCCTAGTGTATAGGTCATATCTTTTCTGTTTTTTGGCATATTTCATGGTTTTTTTTTGGTTGGAAACTGGACATTTTACATAATATATTATAGCTATCAGGATGGTAGTTCCTTCCTGTCTCCAGGGATTGCTACTGTGATATATTTCTTTAGTGATTAGTTGGATAATTTTACTGAAGTCTATTTCCTTTCCCCCATAGAAAATAGGGGGATGTAGCCTTGGGTATGTCTGCAGGGGATGTAGCCTTGGGTATGTCCACAGCTACCCTGAGATAATAGAAGTTTTGGCAAGGTTCTTTTACACTGTCTCTTTCCCTGACCATTCCTAGCTGTTGAATTAACTGCAGGTTGATTGCTATGGGTATACGTTGCTTCATAGATTGAGCCGGTCAAATCTGGGCTCCTTTCAAAAGATAGTTTCCAAGATCAGTGTTTAAGATTCGTTATGACTCCAGGAATACGCCTCTCAGCTGTCTCTTTCCTAGTTCCCAGCAAATTAGGCAATCTACAATTTAGCCTATATCTCCAATGAATCTACCAATCTCTTCCCAATTGCCTTTCACTGCAACCTCCAACATTTTTTTTGAGAGCACCCTTGGGCATAAACTTCTCTACACTTTGTTGCAAACAAAGTCAGTTCCTTGGTAAGACACTGAAAGGTCTTTGTTTTACAACCTACTTCTCCCCCAGGCAAATCTCTGAGCTAGGGCTCTGGAGCTGCAATGGTATGCTTCTCTCCAAGTGACACTCCTATTCCTGTAGCTGAGTTCTGTGGTAGTGGGGCAGTAACCTTAGGTCTTCTCAGTTTGCTTCTTGCTGTGAGAAACCACAGCTTTAAGGCAAGGGGAAGGGTAATCAAGGTCTCAGTATTCTCAGCATGCCGCATTCAAGGTAGAGCCTCTGTCCCAGGAGTGGAGGCTGGATGAAAGAAAGAATCCCACACCTCTGGGATGCACTTACCTGGAACTTAATCTCAGAAACAGGTTGCTGAGGGCAAGAAGAGAAAGGCTGACATACTGTCCCTCTCAAGAGAACAGGTCTCCAATTAGGAGATGGGGTAGAAGGAGCTCTGTGCTGTTGGTTGTGCCAGTTTGGAATGAAATTTCCATCTCTCTGAGTTTGGAGTGAGAGAAGAAAAGTAGAGGCCTTGCTTCAAATACTACAGTTTTAGTAGATTTTCCTGAATAAATATTTCTTTATTTGCTGAATGTCTGTATGCTGGTGAAAGGAAAATAAAATCTCGGCATCCCAAATTCATTATGCCAAGGGAAAGTTAAGCTGGAAGCTGAGTCAAGTAAGAAACTGCCTTCCCTTTTGTTCCTAAGCAAATAAGTCAGAAGACAGAAGGCTAGATAGAAGGCCAGATGTCTCCACAAATAGCCACTCTATGTTTACTTTATCTTAGGTAGAGTCCTGATTTACTGCATGTGAGATAAATGCACGATGACTATTTCTGTACCCTTTCTTTTCACAGGTAAAATGTGAATTCAGTGAATGCTGATCAAAGACTCAAAGGAATGCAACAGCTCTCCTCTTTTCTCTACCCTCCTCTTTTATTTTTCTCTTTCCTCTTTCCCCTACTACTTGCTCTTTTCCCCTTTAAATATAGAAGTCCCAAACCCCTCTTTGGAAAAAAGCATGGATCACAGATTGTTCCTGTGGTTTTGTGTTCCTTTTTGCTGGGTGCATCCTTAACCTTGGCAAATAAACCTCAAAATTGATTAGGACCTGTCTTGGATACTTTTTGGTTTACAGGCCATTTCCAGATACTTTAAGTGGTTAGTTTCATGTTCTTTACCAATTTTCAGTTTTTCTGGGGAGCAGGTCCACAGAACTCATGCTATCATGGCGAAAATGAAACATTCACATCTACTCATAAGGGTTCCAGGTGTCTATAGAATCTGCAGAGTACAAATTCTGCTATGCATGCAGCTCTGTGTGGTCTGGAGTATGATGAAGGGTAGCACTCGGGATGATGAGCTTTGAGACAGATGCTGGATACCACCTAGTGATTCCATCCTCATTGAATAAATGCACAAATTTCCTCTAGGGAAATCCTATTTCAAACAATGAATGTCTAAGAGCTCTTAAATCTGTGGCTCCCAGTGGCCCCCACGGTCATCATCTTCCCTTATATTAAATCAGGCCATCACTGGTTTCATACACTAACAGAAAAAGAAGGCAAGGGAATATGAAGGGAGCAAAAGACAGAGAAGCCAGGCACTAAATCTGAGTGATCCTTGAGGACACCATTAGAACTGACAGCTATGGAAGAAAAAAGGAGGGAACAGTGCATTTTTGGAAGGTGAGTCACTTGGCTCTCTGGAAGCAGGTTGACAATGAGTGGGAGATGTACTGATTAGTACCGTTCTAGTACTAGATGCTTTTCATACATTGTCACCAATCCTGACAGCACCTCTCTAAGGTGACAGTTTTTGTAGTTCACCCTTCCTTTACTTTGTAGTCCATGACTACTACCAGGTCACTGATGCGGTCTCTCACAGTCTTTACCTTGCTTCTTTTCTGCATGCTGACGCCCCTAGATTAGGGACTAAGGATGAGATGCTCTGGAAAAGTGATAACAGTATGTTTTTATTCTGCAAGATAAAGAATACTATCTATTTCCTTGTTCCAGAATTGTAAACTCTTAACCAATAGATTAAGGATTCAAGTCCAGCTCTGCCTCCAAGCCTCTGTCCATTCTGTACCTCTTTTCTGCACAACCTAATGGAAATATCTAACAAAACACTTGAAGCCACCAGCCTGGAAATCATCAGAAAAGGCTAAGGTTGCCTCTACCTAATCTTTGCAGTCCTGCCTTTGCCCTCTGAGAGCGCTCACCACCCCTTCTTTTGAATCTCCTCCGTATAGCATCTGTAGAAATTCGGTGCCCTCCTTTGTTAAACATCTGTGTCCCTCTTTGGCCTGTAAGCTCTCAGGAGCAGGGATCATGGCTTTGCAACTCCATCACCTATTCGGAAACCTGGACAGAGGTAAACATGAAATAAGTGCTTGCTGGATGACTAAGTAAAGAAAGGCAACTGGAGTCACAAAACCCAGAAAGACAACAAAGCACCAAGGGCCAACTCTTGGGAAGTCCCTCTTTAGGAGGCAGAGAGAAAACTACAGGAGGAACATTAGGAGAGCTGAGAGACACCAAAATGAGGCTGAGCTGCCAAGGAAGGTACAATATCAGAAAGGGTGGGTGGTCAATGTTTTATTGGGCTCAGCCTACCAACTTAGCTCCCAGTAGACTCAAGTCAGTCCTCTATGATGAGAGGAAGCTCAGGGAGAGAGGCCATTCCTAGGAACTCCTTTCAGCCTCTGAGCTGGGGAAAGAGCCGTGGGTCCCTACCAAGTAGGAGTAGCTCAGGATGCCCTGGAGAGTTTGGAGGAAGCAACCTTCCCAGGCTGGGGAGAATTTGGCAGTACCTTGGCCTTTCCCGGGTTCTCCCCTAGGCTTCAGGCCTCAGAGGGATCCATCCAGGGTGTATTACTCCCATATCGTAGCTATATAATTTATTTCTCTTTGAGGAGGAAATAATGGCATCTCTGGAGAAATAATTCACTGGCTTTTGGTGGAGAAAATATGTTCTGTGATCCCACACACCATACGATGTGCAGTACCAGTCTGCAGGGGTAAACATCACATTAATATCAGCCACAAACTGCCTACATCCCTACCTTATAAGGCCAGTGTGTCCAGTGTTGGGAGGGGCTGGGGGACAGGAGGATTCTTTACTGATCCAGCAGAAAGCCACAGGGAAAGCTGTAGTGTGCAGTGTTAGAGGATCCTCTGACTTTAGTCAGCTCAAACCCAAAGAAGGAGTGATCAACTGGTAGCTGCCTTCCCACCACACCCCTGCCCTGGGTGATTTTGTACCACTTTATAATTGCTGTTTGACTACCTACATGCTAACATTTCAGCAAAGTTCATTTTATTGTTAAGTCCAGAGGTGCTTGTAACTGACACAGTTTTCAATATGGAAAAATAAATAAAATAAGATAGCAGCAGCTGACACAGTCCTCTTCTATTTCGCCAACGTAGCTCTTATAAATACATACCCTGGATGCAATTACTGGCACTTAATGACCCAAATGGCTACAAAGATGGAAATTTTCTCTTGCAGAAGATGACTAGTATTTTTTCAGCTGCTCTAGTCTATAGTACACTTGTGTTATTAGAAGTATTATCTAAAAAATATATCAAAGTACTTTGTAGCCAATTTTTAAACACTGATTTGTTTCCTTTCCTTTAAAATTCTACATTTAAAACAAATCGAGTGATTCATCTGACGTCTGTTGCTGCCACCTCCAGAACAGCCTTCTCACAGCCACTGCCTGTGTCTTTCTCTCAGTCCCATCCCCTCAGAAGGACTCTCGGCCACTGCCACGCCCCCACTGTGCCCTCATCTCAGCCCCAGCCCTCAGAAGCACTCATCTGTTGTGTCTACTTACTCCTTTCTGAAATCCTTTTTGCTCTTGGCCTCCAGGCAACTAAGACTTTCCCTACATTCAAACCATTTATTTTAGGACTTCTCTCACCCCCTAAGGCATCACTAAAGATCCATCTGTAGCTCCCTCTCTTTCCTGAGGGCTCTGTTGCACCTCTATTCCAAGATCACCCAAATGTCCATCTCTAGGGCTAGTTTCCCCAAGAAGCCCCAGGAGCCACTTCCAACCACTTTCCTGGACAGTTTCCTTAGCAGCCTGGCTGGCATTTCAACCTCAACAAAGATTCACTGGGCACCACTTGCGACCCAGGCTCTGCTAAGGGCACTGTGTGAAGAAGACACACTCAATTCTTGCTCTTACAGTTCAGGATAACAAAACACATCTTCCTTCATTCATGTGGGCTCTCCCACCTCCCTGCCAACCTCAGAACTCCAATCTCGTATTAAGGCATAACACCTGGGCTGGAGGTCCCAGTACCATACGACATGGTCCTCCCCACTGCACCCATAGCTCATGGTTGTTTAGGTTCAGGAATTTGCCCACAAACACCTTCTCCTCTCCATTGCCCATAGCCAGGCCCTCTCACCTGAAAGCCAGATTATTTCAGATGTGCCTCAGCTAATTCCCATCTCAAGTTTGCACCAGTCCAATCCATTCCACACACTGCAGTCTCCCAAATGACATTTCACCATGTCATTCTTCTGCTGCTCACACATCAACCACTCCCCATTGGCACCAAAACAAATTCATTTCAAGCTCTCCAACAACAGGTAGGTCCCACCCCACGTTTCCAGTTGCTTTCCTGTATGTTCCATTTCAAAAAACTGGAACCGTAATCTATTCACAATGCTCCACCCAAGATTCCCATGCCTTTGTGCCTTTGCTCAGTTTGTTCTGTCTTTCAGAAACATCACTTCCCCAGCTCCAACTCTGCAAGTGCAAATTCTATCCATAACTTGAAGCCTGGCTCAAATACCACAGTCTCCTGAAAGCCTGTTTAAAAATCCACTCCTCCCTTAAATGGAATGAATCTCTTGGTCCTCTGCTTCCGGTATGATTCTGATGACAAGTGCCTTGTGCAGACAGTTTATATCGGGTTGATCTTTGTTTTTGCCACACAACAGATTGCAGTGGCTTGCACTGACTCGGTAAGAATTTGATGAATGGGTTGCACGTCATGTTTCAATCCTGTAATTCTACTACTTTTTGAGGCTGAGGTGGGATTGATCGCCTAAGGCCAGGAGTTTGAGACCAACATGGGCAATAAAGGGAGGCTGCCATCTCCACAAAAAATAAAAAAATTAGCCAGGTGCAGTGGCACATGTCTGTGGTCCCAGCTACTCAGGAGGCTAAAGTGGGAGGATCACTTGAGCCTGGGAGGTCAAAACTGCAGTGAGCTGTGATTATGCCACTGCACGCCAGCCTGGACAACAGAGTGACACCTGGTCTCAAAAAAAAAGAATGGGATGAATTAACAGATGAATGAATGGGCTGCTGCTGGTGTGCTTTCTGTGTGAGAACAGCTAAATTTTGAAAGGTGATATTCCACAGAGACATCTCCAATCTAACCTCTACTCATTAGAGGTTAGAAAAATAAATAGATATTAAATCAACAGATAAAGGGCACTGAGAAGCTGACCACCTGCCACCTACATAACCTGCCTCCATTTGGGTGTGCATGTTTATGGCTAAAGCGATTCCGATTCTGCAGCAGGACCTCCTTTTGTCTTTGTGAGCAGTTTGGTTAACTCTTCCAATTTTCCGTCAGTTCTTTGACACAGTTGTACCTTTAATATTTCTGATCTAACTAGATTCTGCTGAGTAAACTAAACTACTCTCAGTAAAATGATTTACTTTCATGCAGCTAGGAGGGGAGGAAAACTGAAGGAGTCATATTATAACTTTATCACCATGACTCTGGCACTGAGAAACTATTTCCACAAAGCGGAATCACATTGTGCCCTGCACATCTGGAGTCCATTCTGGGATTTGAAGCTGTAAATGTGATTAGGGACAGATGTCCCCCCACTGTGTATAAGAAAGAAAAACCAGCAAAAATAAGCCAATATCCACTTAGTAGAGAAAAAAATGTGAATCCCTCAGCTGTGGATAAGATATTTACTTTTAAAAAAAGTTTCCTCAAAAATGGTACACTAAACTTCACCCTTCACACATAGATGTTACTGTATTTTGGTGAATAAGACAAATACTTCCACATATATCCCACTTCTGATTATTTAAAAACATAAC